CCTGCCCTCCGGCCCTACCCACGGCTCGTCAGAACCGAACCTACAAACTGTTATATAATTTCGAGGCAGAGTGACCTTGGCGTCAGAATGGGACTCGTTCTATTTTCGACTGCTGGAAATCGGTACATATATTTTTTTTTCCCATTCTATTTTTTTCTTTATTTGACCTTGGTTGTAATGCGTGACTTTTGGGAAGATTTTTTTTTCTCTCTTTGTAATGGTTTTGTTATCTTTCGGTGCATAAATATGGGAATTAATTACTTTTTCTTTTGATTAGTGTAAAAGCAGTTAGAATAGACATGAATAATAATGCAGTTTATAATTAGGAACTACATAAAATGATAATTGTGATGATGGGGTTATATGATATTTTCAGATTTCCCTTTTTTTATTATCATTATCTTTATTATCATTATTGTTATCATAATGTTTATTGTTATTACTGCTACCGCGACCACTACCACTAATATTATTATCATCATTGTTATCATAATTATCACGGTTATCATCATTATCCCGAATATTCTCTTCTAAGTCTTAATAAAGACAAAACCTTTCTCAATATCTTTACTGTGCTTAAAAGTACCGTTTTCTGGATCATCTGTGACCTGATCTTTACATAATTTTTCCCGGATGCTCTTCAACCCTATCCGAAATGGCTGCCCAGTTCCATTGCACCAATCACGACAGGTTTTACTGTGACTTTATCATTCCCTAAATCCATCTTACTTCTTCCATTTCAGTCTTCTCAAGTTTTTTTTTGTCTCTAACCCTTACATCACAAGGCACCGCCACTCCCAGAATCTAAATTTCTATAGTGAAATCCCACAATAGCCCGTAATTCCCCGGTTTCTGTCCAAACCACCCGACAGCTCTTTCCATTCCTCCCTCTCTACACAGTTGCCAGTGACCATAATATGCCGCATTATCCCGCCCTTTCTTATATTCCCGTTGTGGCCATCATCCTACACTCACAAGCCAAAATGATTCACACTCACTTCCCTCTCTCTCTCTCCACACTTTAAACACAGCGGTGAATTTCTCGTTAATGTGAAACCTCGTGTAGTTGGTCCGCAGAGCTTGGTTCAGAGGAGCCGCTCTTGTCCCTTGCCTTGTCCTTTTACAATCAACTCCTACCTTATCGGTGCATTCCTTTCTCTCTCTATTAGTTCCCTTTTTCCTTTTTTATTTGATCGTTATTATTATCATTATTATTATTATTATTACTATTGTTATTATTATTATTTTATTACTATATTGTTATTATTATTACCATTGTTATATCATTATTATTATTATGATTATGATTATGATTATGATTATGATGATGATGATGATGATTATTATTATTATTATTATTATATTGTTATTATCATTATTATTGTTTGTTTTATTATTAATATTATTATTATTATTATTATTATTATTATTATTATTATTATTATTTATTATTATCATCATTATCATCATTTATCATAATTAGCACCATTATTATTATCATCAATATTATTGTTATGAAAAATTATTATTTTCATTATGACTCTTATTATTGTTATTAGTACTATGACTATTATAATCATTATTATTATTGTCATTATTATTGAGATTATCATTATCATTATTATTTCTAATATTATTATTGTTATCATTATGATTATTATTATTTTTAATATCATTATTA